ATTATACAGTGGCATTAAACTGTCAAACACCAAGCGGTCACCGGTGACCGCAACCTATTGTTCTATAATTGTGTCTACAAAACCGGTACTCGACGAGTTAAGTGCCGTAATGTGTACACCTCTGCTTACCCCCTCGGGGATTAAAAGGCGTGATGTTATGTTATGGAAAATACCAACCGGCCATGGTTTTACCCAAACACTATTTCCTCTAGTTCAAGTAATGTCAAAAAGTTGCTTCGATATTAACAATAACTTAGTCCTAACAATAATGAATGCGATAAACAAATGAATTATGTAATTCAGCACAGCCGCGGCGGCCCAGACGTACACAATTCATTTATAATTTATACGTCTCAGATTCCAGAACTTAAAAGCATAATATTACGTTTTTTAAACTCAAACGATGCACTTATTAACATTTTGAGTAACTACCTAGTATAAACAACAGTAAGATATGTTAAAAAAAATAATCCAAATATAAGTGAATATATATATTGAATCAATCGTAAAAAGAGAGGCAGTTCTGCGTTGACGTTGGCTGTATGCGGACGTTCGCTTGTGCCCTATATTGCTTCGATTTTGTGTTATCTGTGACTTCCCGCGTTTTTTCTCGAATGTGACATTTTGACAGTTGGTGAGTTATTTTTTTTTTATTTTATAAAATAAATTAGTTTTAATTTATATGCATTGTAATGTTCCCGTCTCATTGGAACCTGTGTCTTGACACTTGAGTCAAAAATATCGAATGTTTTTTTTTGATTTCATTCTTCAGGTTTCAAATGAGTCGAACTACTTCATAAGTCATGAAAATATGTACCTACAGCTCCTGTGTAGAAATATATATATAGTGTAACTAGTGGATATTAGAAGTTAAATTTATCGTAAATGATAAACAAGGTTATGCTAGTGAATTCGTTCGCATTAAACATATTGTCAACTGAAAATTGTAAACTAGTCAAAAATAAATAGAAAATTACTTAAGTAGAGCATAATTTGATAAAAAAACAACACAAGTTATTAATTATGCGTTCATTAAACGTGATGGATAATGTGTCGTGGTGGCCAGGAGGTTAAAGACGCCCGCTTTCTATCGACGAGGGTGCGGGTTCGAGACCTACCAACGTCAAGTACCAATGTGACTTTTTCCGAGTTATATGTACTTTCTAAGATTATTTAGACACCACTGACAAACGGTGAAGGAAAATATCGTGAGGAAACCTGGGCTTATAATTTCTAATTATTACTTTGAAATCGCCAACCCGCATTGAGCAAGCGTGGTGAGAAAGGGATTCATTTTTATAAAACATAACATAACATTACGCCTTTTATCCTCGACGGAGAACCTAACGGGTAACCGGGGCTCCGGCTCGACGTGCAGGAGAAGGAACGGGGTGGTTTTTAGTCAGTAAGAGTCTGACACTCCCTCCCGCCTCACCCAGGTGGGAGCAGCCATTCGATGATTTTCCCCCCTTTAAAAAATAAAAATAAAAAAAGGGGTCGGCAGAGGTGCACATTATACCACTACAATGTAATACCCACTTTTCACTATATATATTATAGAGTATCATGTAATAGGGGGTGAACCCATTGCCTTAAACCGGGCACAGTTCCAGACTTTGTGCTACTACTGAGATTTTTAAAACCCTTTGCTCTCGACCCCGAGATTCCTTGCCCGGCAGTCGCACTTGCGACCACTCGGCCAACGAGGCAGTCATTTATATATCAATATCAATACATAGTATAAAACAAAGTCGCTTTCGCTGTATGTCCGTATGTATGCTTAGATCTTTAAAACTACGCAACGGATTTTGATGCGGTTTTTTTTAATAGATAGAGTGATTCTTAAGGAAGGTTTGTATGTATAATACATGCATATTGCACCCGTGCGAAGCCGGGGCGGGTCGCTAGTAATATATACATATATATTGATTACCTGAAGCTATAATTAGGTGCGTTCTATTTCGAAATATTTTTGTAACATTAGACGTAATGCCTAGATAAAAATTAGCATACCTACACTTTAATACCATTTTAATAATAATATATATATGCTAATTATTGGATAACTCATTGCTATTTAAGACATATTCTCTGTGTAAATACTTTCATGCATTCAGAATAAATTAATATTAAGTAGGCATATTGGCTCGGAGGTCTAAGACGTTCACTTCTCATGCATTAGGATGCGGGTTCGAAACCTACCAACGACAAGTAGCAATGTGATTTGTGACACTATGAAATCTATTTCGTTTTCGTCCTGCGGCAAAACAACTTGCCAAGGAATACTTTCGATGTATAAAGTAATAACTTTCAATCCTTCAATAAAAGAGCGTATTCCTTTTTAAAAGGCCGGCAACGTACCTGGGACTCCTCTGGTGTTGCGGGTGTCTATGGGCGGCGCTGACCGCTTACCATCAGGTGATCCATCTGCTCGTTTGTCTTCTATTCCATAAAAAATAATAACGATGTAATTTTTTTTATCTTGACTTCTATTATGCCGACTCCTTGTACAAAGATTAATATTTATCAGTTAAATTATTAAGTTGAATAAATTGCAAAAGTCATGCTCAATGGCGACGAGATTTTACACGACTTTTCTCATTTATCTAAATAACATTTTAGGGAACAGTGAGTTCTCTAAGTTCGAAAAAGAAGGAAGCTCCTACCAGGCGAGGTAATCGTGTCGGGAACAGTTGCTCTGAGGTCGTCTCTTCGTCCCCAACTGGGGGCGTGAGGCCGCGCGAGCCATGCCGATGCCTGTTTTGGCGCTTCCTGTCGCTGCCTGCGACTGCAGGCGAGGGGTTGGAGTAGTCGGGCCCCTTGCGGGGTCCGATGTAGAGTAAAGTCCGATGGTTTGCGCCGCTATGAGCCACCGCGCTCTAGCCAAGCCCGGCGAGCAGCAAGCTGTTAGAGCGGCGCGTGATCGTGTCCAGTAGGTGGCGCTGCTAGGACCCGCGCTCAAGCCAGGGTAATCCGGGCGACCGGGGGGCTGTTAGCGGCGCTCGGTCGTGTCCGGTAGAGACAGAATCTCTACCAACCTTGTCAGACTCTTACTGTCTAGAAACCACCCCGTTTCTACTCCAGTGCTTCGAGCCAGACCCCCGGTTACCTGTTCCTTTTAGTAATTGGGCCTCCAGTAACCTCACTCACATGACGAAACACAACGCGAGCCTTGTTTCACGTCGGTTTTCTGTGAGGCCGTGGGATCACTCCGGTCGGCCCGACCCAGCAATGCCGAAGCATGGCTCTCCCAAATATTTAACAATCAACTTGTATTTAGTCCTTCTGTATCTGATATTACCGAAAAGATCCTAAGGGAAAAGATCCTTTCATATATAATATATAGATACAGCCATATATATAGCCAATATATACAATATATACAGCCCAATAATCAAACCCAATAGGTACCCCTTGGTTGACAATTGCGTTTGTACTTAAAAGATTGTCAGAGACAAAAAACTGTTATCATATCTTAATATATCTGCACCGAAATCCATCAAAAGTGATTCAGCAGTTCAGGAGTTATCGCGTAAAAAATAAATTTTTAACGAAAAATATGTTTCAGTTTAGGATTTCGGTAATAATTTGGTAAATTGTGTAATTTGATAATAATTAATATTACCTACTTATGTTTTTCCCCGATAAATACATTTATTCTTAGTACCAATGATATAATCTTGAAACTTGTTCGATGTAGGACTATAGGCACACCTCCAATTACATGGGCTTTATAACACATCTTGTGATAACAGTTGCCACGACTGCCTCGTTGGCCGAGTGGTCGCAAGTGCGACTGCCGGGCAAGGAGTCTCGGATTCGATTCCCGGGTCGGGTAAAGTATTACAGGATTTTTATAAAAAAATCTCAATAGTAGCACGGAGTCTGGCATCGTGACCGGTATATCGCAATAGAATCACCTCCTATTAAATGGGACTCATAACATAGTGAAGAGTGGGTGTTACATTGTGCAGTGGCATAATATGCACCTCTGCCTACCCCTTCGGCGATAAAAGGCGTGATGTTATGATGTTATGATAACAGTCTATGGAAATAAATAAATAGAGAAACGATGTACCTATATATTATTATGTTTTTTACGGAACGTTGCCCCACACTAGGATTTTCTCCTGTATCGTGTGTGCGTTTACAAACATACAAGTTCACATACACATGACACCCAGACCCAGAACAACAATTTGTGGATCACGCAAGGAGTTGCTCCGTGCAGGCATTGAACGCGCTACACTTTGCACGGCAGCCGGTTGCCCAGCCACCACCAACCATGCACTCAGTATATAATCTATAGACAATCTTTCATAAATTACTTAATTTTTTATAATAACTATCGTGAGACATACTAAATTAATTAAAATCTGTGGTTCGAAACTAGTAGTAAACCCAATTACCCTCCCCTTCCCCAATCTCCCCAATCCCTGAATCCCCAACGATCCTCAAACTCCTAATCCCCAAAAGGCCGGTAACGCACTTGTAACGCCTTGGTGTGTCAGGTGTCCATGGGCGGCGCCGATTGCTTACCATCAGGTGATCCGTCTGCTCGTTTACCGGCTTATGCCATAAAAAAAGTAGATCTTTTCTCAATATATTCACGTGAGTAACCCGCGATTTTTAGTTAATTACATAAATTGGTAGATTATTATTAATACTATTTATGTCATTAAATTTTACAATAATTTGTTTATAACGACTTCAACTCATGCTAATTACTAGATTAACTCTTTGAGTACCGTCATTATAGACACAATTATAGAACAATAGGTTGAGGTTCCCGGTGTCCTCGCGGTGTTTGACAGTTTAAACCATTATCCGAAGCACAGATATATTAAAATATTTCTGTGATCCGAAGTGTAAGAAACACTTTTCTGTAAATCGCATCAAAATCGGTTCAGCCAATCGTGAGATAATCGCGCGCAAGCGTTGTTTCACGTCGGTTTCCTATAAAACAGTGATATTGCTCCGGTCGAATCCTTCCAGCAGTTCTCAAGCATGGCTCTCACACAGTCTTTTATATTCTAATAATGGTGTAATAGTAATTTATTAAGATATTTTATTGTAAAGTATAGATTAAAGATAATATTACAAATATGCGAGCAATTTCCTATACATTAATCCTTTATTTACTTTTGATGTGTTATCTTAGATAGCTCTGCGTATTGTATTGATAATTACTAGATTAAAGCCCCTAATTGGGGCAATTTTAAAGTCTTAGATAACCATGAAATACCTATTCTAAAGGACCCGTAGCAGAATTAAATAATACTTTTCTAAACTAAGCTTAAAAAAAACCGACTTCAGCTCCATCGGTTTTTGAAGTCAGGTAAGTTTTTCTAAAACCTAATCCTCGCGGAGAATCTAACGGGTTACCGGGGCTCCGGCTCGACGTGCAGGAGAAGGAACGGGGTGGTTTTTAGTAAGTAAGAGTCTGACACTCCCTCCCGCCTCACCCAGGCGGGAGCAGTCATTCGATGATTTTCGCCCCTTAAAAAAATAAATAATTTGGCGACACATGTCAGAAATCCTACATCGCACATGCTAAGTTTACAAGCGAATAAACACGGATAGAAAAATCCAACGAATAACTGTTGGGCAGAAAGCCCGCCAGACACGATCACC